ATAATCGGAATTTTGTATCGGATTTTAAACGAGTTGATAAAGATGCGCTTGCAGTAAGGTACTCGATCTCTCAGCTATAAAAACAAAAAAAAAGCAATGGAGAAAACTTCGAAATTTAAGCCAGATCGTCCATATCCTAATTTTTTTAATTATTCCTTTTTATATACCTGTAAATAGATAAAATATCCAATGGAATTCTGCAAGAAAATTCTGTCCTCTATGCCCTGAGGATGGATAATTGCATTTACTCGCCCCGCTGTGACAGCTGGGCCTACAAAACAAAAACAGTATTTTTCGTTTTGCAGTATTTGTAAATGGATTCGTTATTATATGCCGGTACAGAGCGACAACAAAAACAAATGAAAGAAAGAAAAATGATGATTACCTCGTGGCTCAATTTGTATTATAATTTTGTGTAAACTACACGCTGTGATCAATTTTTCTTTCTTTACAATCGCTTTTGACCAATCGTGTTGTAAATTTGTAGATGTAAAAAATACATGCATTCCCAATAGCTCTGAGCTATTTCCTATGTATTTTTTGCATCTATATTTTAATACCTCGATTCCCCACTGTGAAATACAAATTTCATAAGTATCGGCTCCAAAAAATCATTACGGGGGTGTCACTGCATCAATGCAATTTTCGACCTACGTTGGACCCGAGAGAGGCTCAAAATATTTTGCAATTTACTTTTAATCATTCACGTGAATGCATAATCAAACAGTACTTATTAAATATTCCCACAAGTAATAGTATCAATGATCTAGTAGAAGCAAATTGGGTAAATACATGGCCACAGGATAGACGTAATTGTAATGGAAGGCAAATCGCTGCCTGCTATCCCTCTTCAAGCGTTGATCGCACACATTCGCACGAGAAAATACCGTAAACAGCCTCTCTCACTCGCGCAGGTCGTTAATTCATCTTTGCCCCGGCGAGCCCACCTTGACTCACAGTACGTATAGAGTATTAACAAAGACAACGCGGCAGCCATATACACCCCCGTGATTGCGTAATCCATTTTCCTCATTAAAATCATTCCCACCGAAACTCCCTTTTTAGCCTCATATACGTATACACATATAATACACACAGTCACAATCATGCACACGAAATACACGGTATGTCCGATGCATCGCGCATATTTTACACCCAGTACGCGTCGTTGCGTCGTTATTTACGATAAATTTTCGCGAAATACACGCTGCACGTGCGTAAATAGACACATACACACAGCGACACTTAACCACACGCAAGCGAGCGAGTGCGATAATTCGCATTATTCACTGCTCGGCAACAACATCCATTTGTACAACTTTATATTTATTATTATGCAAGTGGGAGCGGATGTGCTTTCGATATCGAAGATCGAGACTAATAATTCGGGGCGCGCATTTCTGGCCGTTTTTTTTCTAGGCGCGCCTTATATGACGAATAAACTTTATTATACAAATAATGTGTAGTATATTTATTGTAGTGAGAAAAAATGAAAGCAAAACAAATAAGCCTAGAGTGTATAATTTGTAGATGCGAAATTCGACGATGATCGGAATATCGCTCTCTGTTTCCCCCATCTTTTGTCCTGGCGCGCGAAACAGACTGCGAGACCCGATCGATCGTAATATAAAAATTACTATTTGGAAAAAATATTATAAGACTGATTGTAAAAATTGAGAAAATTTTATTATTTGTATATTGTAAAATTTTTGGCGTATATTATGCTGTATTGTAGAAAAAAACGATGTAAGCGTATAATGAAAAGAAAAATTATAATTTTATTTATAAAAAAAATTTTGGAATTTATATATTGTAACAAATGAATGTGAATCTTTTGCCGATAAATTAATTGTTTTCTTGGAATAATTTTGCGTTTGTTGTAAACCGTCAAAATTGTTTTTCGATCTCAGGCATATCGACTCCTTCGACAATGATCAAACCAATATAAACGATTGTATATTGTAATTTCATACGATCAGAAAAGTAAAAAAACAAACAAACATGAGTTCAAAGAACAAAACCAAATAATAAGTAATAATAACTGATTGATTTTAAAGCAAAAAAGAAAAAACCAACAAACTCAAACGAAAGCGGCAACGCTTTTGAATACATAATAATCATCCATGTATTTTTCATTATTATTGTAATAAGAGAACAAAAGAAGTGATTTATTCAGGAACTTTATTGGAGAAACGAAAATAAATGTCCTTCGGTAATTCTTTTCATCATGTTTTGGGTATGAAGAAAACAAAAATAACCGAGAACAAAATAATGAAAATTTAATGTAACGAGCAAAATTCTTTTTTATTATAATGGTATATAGTCAATATTCTTAAAGGATGAAATGACAAAATGAAAGAACCGAAAATTATATTGTCAACGTAAAAGACTTTGCAATAGATATTGTTCCTACTATATACTTTGCGATTGTTTTATACCTAATGATTCAAAAGAAAAAAAAATAAACAAATTTTGTCGGCTATAAAAACGATTTTCTCTTTGTCTCTACTTACGTATGTTGTGTGCATGCTTGAATACACGATATTTATACCTTTCATTTCCATCTCATCCCATCATACATTATAATTTTCATTTTTTTTTTTTGTAAGTTTAATCAAGCTGATATGAAACAAAGTTTTGACTATTAGATACTTTTTTATCATGGTATTTTCTCCGTTATCAAGAAGTTGCGATTACGAAAGCTCGTTAAATTAATATTCTCTCGAACGGTGATCTTTTTTTGGCTCGCTTGGTCGCCTGGTTAGATCTCGATATAAACTTTATGTTTCCTCTGTGCTCCGATAAACTTCAGAAGTTAAGCGCGCTTCGATCTTCGATGGTAGATATTCAAATTTCGGACATCAAGATTCGGATAACGTGAAAAATCGCTGTAATCTCAACGAGCTATAATTTCGTCGAAGAACCTGCAGACGTTGATTCAAAAGAAAAGGTCTCGTTGTTATACAAATAAATGAGGTCAAGAAAAATCCGTATAGAAAACGAAAACTCAATTTATTCGATGATAAACACGTTGAGCTAGTGGACGAGCCATTTCGATATTGTATAACACAAAAAACGCACTCGTTTTATTTTGACGTCTGCCTTGAGTAAATCAGACTTACAGCGAGAGAGAATTTCGGCTATTTTTCATTTATTTTGTTGGCTGGTTACACGTACTTTTCACAAGGCATCATGGCGAGAACTGATTTCGTTCGATCGATGACGAAACTTTTGGCAAATAAGTCGAGTCTCTGATTGATATTGACGTTAGAAAATTAATCCGGTTAAGAGAACGTCTAATACACCTTCCTATTGCTTCTTTGCTCATAGTTGTATTGCAAATAAAAAGCAGTTTACGAAATGCGGAATTGAAAAAGTTTTCTAAAGCTCCGCTAAGTTAAGTGGTAAATATCGACACTACGGCTTATCAAACTTCTTGCTTAATATTTCAACCAAATCATCTATTCGATGTATTTTCCATCTATTAAGTTCTTTTAATCAATGCCGATAACAAGTTAATTTTATTACCTCAAACGGGATGATTCAACTGTAAGATCACAAATAAATTTCAGCGTTAGGCCATGACAAAAATGTCAAGCGTGTGTCGTCTCGAGTGTATCTTTGATCTGTATCGTGATTCGAATCAAATCGTAAAAATATTTGATTTTGTATACGAGAGCTGCTTATTACATATCCATGCGCAGGCGAAATATGTGCATGAGTCACGAGGTGTAGCGAGCCATAAAGCTTTGATCCGAGCAGCGATGAGTCGGCAGGTAAAGATGGGCAGCAGTTGTCCGATGAGAGATCATGATTTTTCAGACAGGGGATGCGAGCTTTATCTCGAGTGAAGGTGAAAGTTCAAGGATATACGTTACGTTTGCGTTTGCGAATTTCGAGCCGATATGCGAAAAATTTTGAGGACGTCGGTGTGATGTTTGAATTACCTTTAGCTGCTATTTTCGTTCCTTCTTTTTTTTGTCGACGAGATTGCTTTGGGAACGTATTTTGAATTCCCACGGAAGAGATTGCGTACGATTTATTTTTGAAGCCCCGGGTTATCTATCATGTTCACGGAGAATTCGAATGTAGAGAAAATCTAGAATCTTTATTAAAAATGTCTTTTTTATTGTCAAAATAAAGCACGCGTAAAAAATGGTAAAACGTAAAACGCCAATAATTTTCTCGTGGATTGAATTTTCGCGCGATCAATACAAATGAGCGTGTACCAGTACGCACAGACTGCTTTAATCTCGCGATTTATCGAAATAATGGTCTACGTGTAGACGAAATAATGGTCGAGGTTAAAAATTGCTCCGGTCGTCGCACGCGCGTGAGATTTTTTCAATTAAAACTTTCGCGTCTAAACAAGCTTCGGGCAAGAACAAAAAACTGTAATTTGAAACAAGAAATAAAAGGAAGTAAAGAAGTAAAACTAAAAAACGGACTGTACACAATGAAAAGCGCGAGATGTGTGCGTAACACGAGAAGAAAAATTCCAAATCGATGAAAAAGAGGACGCGAGAATGAAGGGGAAATAAACAAAATGGGGGTTAGGAAAAAATGAAAAAGTGAACTTACTATTGCAGACCTATCTTGCGTTGCAATATTGCATCTCGCGAGTACGTATCGTCGTTGGATTACTTCATGGCCTTTTGATTACATTTTAGATTTCAGCCATTCCTTTCATGTAATGAATGTTAACACGAGTCTGCATCAATTTTTTCTTTTTTTTTTTTTGCTCAAAACGAACAGAAAAGTCGAGTATCTACCATTCATCCAATCATCATTCGCATATATCAAAAGAAAAACAGGTACATGTGAGCGAGCAAACGTAGTACCGCATAGCCTTACACCACGCACGCCAACATACATAAAAAGAAAATCTCTTCAAAGCTATATCAGCCGGATTTTGTTTTGTTTGTTTGTCACGTTGTATACGTCCAACGATCGGCGCATTGCACACGTATACACGCATGAAAAAAAAAACAACCATACAGGTCGACGAGTGAGACGCGGCAGGCCGCGACTCGGCACGCGCGGCAGCGGCGCGGGCAGCAGGCAGCTCCAGGCCTCGACCCACGGGAATTCGCCGTCACGGAGCGACTGGCTGCCGCTCGACATGAGGACAACGCCACCAGCCATGCCGGCCTTCCGCGGCTTCGACGATTCCGTCTCGTCCGACGGCGTGGTAAGTATATCGCATCGAGCTTTTTTTTCCTTTGCCGCAAAGGATACGGATTTTGCCAGACGCTCGCGAGCTCCGGAAAATTTCTAGATGTATTCGAGGATCCTAAGGGGGGGAAGGGGTGGGGGCGACGATTTGCCTATGTATTTTAATTTACCAGAACCGATCAGATTGTAGAGGCAAGCCAAAGAGAAGTACCACGGCTTGGTCTGCGGGGATATTTCCTTGAAAGCTTTGACGCTGACCGCAAGCTGTCGATATAGATATACGCGTAGAGAAAGAGAAAACGGTTTCGGGGAGGCGCCTTAAACTCGAGTCCGCCTTTTGCAAGTCACACTTGTTTTCCAAGTTTCGATCAATTATGCGGTTCGTTCGCGTGGTTTCGGTGTATTACACATAGTTCTCCATGTACATAAGCCGAACACGACCATTTTCCCATCAAGATTTCCGTATAATGCTTGTAACTTTTAGAGCTCGCGTAAGTTCTGATGTCCGCACGAGTTTCAATAGACCAGCCCCTCACGGAATTACGTATAATCCATGCGCGGAAGATCGAGCGAGTTTTTGAAAATACTCACAATGACTTGCGTGGATTGAATTGGATTTTGACATTGGGTGTTACTCGAGTCGATTTTTCATTTTCGAAATATTCCGGTTGTACGTATTCTAATCAAACATTGTATACGAGCATAGTAGAAATAATGCCGGCTAAGAATTATTCCACGATTGTGTATTTACAATGTAATCTGTGGCGCATTCATAGTTTTTCGCGGCGCGCATTCAAGCTGGCATTATCTCTCTCACTTTCTCTCTTTTTCCCATTCAAGCTGCGGGATACTCGCGTGTGTTCACGGCGGTGATAGCATATGAATGGGGGCACGTTCATCTTCGACGAAAAGTCCTGAATGGACTTTTTCATTGGAGTGTTATTAATTGCCCAGCCACCGATTGTGTGCGCGACGACTAATGAACAATTTGGTCAGCTGCACTTCCGCCGCGATAAAGCTTTTTATCCATCGACTATTATATTTGTAAAGAAAAAAAAACAACGCAGTTTGCGGGGTTGAACATTATTCAAGGTAAAAAGAAGGAAGAAAGAAGTTGTTGGTGCAAAAATGTGTATAAACACGGATCTTATCTAAGACTTTGTGGGCTACTCATTTTTCATTCTATTCATTAGGTTCTAATCTGCGCCTGGCCAGGGTATACGTGCACGCGTTCATGGAAAGAAAGCAGTTAATAAACGTTCTCGTCTTTGTTCGTGCGAGCTCGTGAATACGCGTCAAATATCAAAGCAAATACCGATGCATAAAACACAGTATTATATGTTGCCCTGATCTTGCAAGGATCTGTGCATGTGCGCAAACAAGAAAAAGCAAGAGAGATGGAGAGAGAGAGAGAAGTCAGCTCTGGGAATCTCCACTCCCTAAAAGCTAATATTCAAGCAAATCCTTCACTTTTCTTGCTGAATACGCAGCAGCTGCATCTTGAACAACATTTTTTTCTATTCTTCCCCGAACACGCGTACGTGTAATATACGTCGGGGCTATATACCCAACCTGTATACAATGTGTATACTATGCATGTATACAAAGTATGTCCTTTGTGCAAGTTAAAAAAAGAAAAGAAACGTATAGAGGGACATAAATGCAAAAGACTTATTCCAGTCACGTTTCTGCATATGCTGCTGTAAAACATATGCTTATCATCTGTTTACGCTTGACGGACACGCTCTTTCTCTCTCTCTCTCTCTTTCTCTTTCGCTCTCGAGCCAGTTTTATTATACACGCGCCTCGTGTGTAATCCTGCACGTGAAAACTCTGCATCTATAGTGTTCTCTTTTCCCTTTTTTTCGTACCTTCGACAAAGTCGTTTGCCGTATGGAAGTATTTTTCAATTATTTTTTTGTTTCGCCCCGCCGCGACTTTGTTGTTTCTCGTGTAAAAGATACGCACGAAGGATTAAAATTTTATCATCCAACCGCGTGTTTTACGAGCGTGCGGCATAAAATTTTAATAATTTTTTTACGGTTGAACTAATTAATTTAATTGAGGCGAGTGAATCCGCAAGAAGCATCCACCGGAGTAAATGTGCCGGTAAAATAACATTGAATTAATTAACGAAATGGTTATACCTTAGCCGTAGCTCCGGTGGCCAATATATGCTAATTCGGATACTTTCGTATAAAGTGCCCGAAAGCACAAGTAGTACGAGTCAACATGCCGTCGGACGTAGATCGTCGCGCGAGCGTCTGGTAAACGTTTCCTCGCTACATCGAACTCGAAGACTCGAAGATTGAAATTTACCCAATGAATCACACAGGTACATCTGGGCGAGGGCATAGCCGTGTGCGAGGAGCAGCTGCGCGCCGTCAAGTGGAGCGACTATCGCAAGCTGACCCGCGGCCTCGCCGCCATACTGTTCAGCCCGACGGAGCTGGCGACCTGCTCGGTGACGGGGCAGCGCTGGAGCCGCGCCGGCACGGCCACCGAGCGCCCGGTCAAGCCGGCCCTCGACAAGGCCAAAGTTCAAGCCATCATATGTGAGTATTACGTCCATCTATTACACTTTGCGCGTACATAGTGCTTTGAGCTCCGCGCGTCGTAAGTCGAAGCTTTCGCCGGAGCGGCTTTTGTCCTTACATACACACATCTCCCTCTGCTCCCCCAACTTTAATGGACATAACGTGTTACTGCTCGGGATTTCCTCGGGTTCTCGCTTGCTCTCCCCGTCCCGGCGAGTCTTAGCGCGTTAGCCAAGTTTACGCTCAACTTCTCTTCTGCCGTGCATATTATTAAAGGTAATGATTTTCCTAGCGAGTTACAGGAGAGAGAAAAAAAAGCCGAGGCCCCCGAGCCACGTTGCCGAGCTTCAACTCGATAAATATTCGCTTTGGCGTATACAGCTGGGCTAAAGTGCGCTCGCTTACGGGCAAATTTTGTTAAATTTTCGTGTAATGATACAACAGCCGACCTGGGCGAGAGCTCGCAGCAATATTGTGCGAGTAAAAGCTGGTCTTGCGCGATACATACTTTCTTCGCGGCTGCTGATGTACGTACGTACACACATACACATATATATACGTGTATTGCGTATAATAATAGCATAAAATTTAATGTAGCGTGAATATGAGAGAACCCGCGTTTCGTCGGCCAACGCGCTCGGCTCTCTCTCGTTCGCTCGCTCGCGGCCTGAATATCGTTATAATATTTGCGCATCTAAACGGCTATATGTACGCCTGCACTTGTATATATAATTCAGCTGCAGCTGCTTGAGGCATTTTTCCCTCTACTCGTGTCAGCTCCGAGGATCGTTGTGCCAGGCCGTCAGTCTCTTTCTCCCTGTATGCCTGCGTGATGCGGGAAACTCGTCAATATTTGACGTCAATTTATTTAGCCATTATAAAAGCGGCAGCGTATGCGACGACACGATGTACAAATATGTGCCGATCGAATGCGTGCTGGTCCAAACCGTAATGAATTACTGCATGCGCATATCATTACGTGTACGCGAGCGCGTTTTCTTCTTCTTTTTTTTTTCCTTAAAACATTTTTTTTAAAGATTTTTCGTAAACATTAACCCGTTGACTCACGATATTTACAACAAAAATTGTGAGTGTACTTATCGTACCATTATTTAATCAAAAAGTTCGTCCACATTATAATACAGGCCATCTTGTATAGAATGGACCGGGACAAATAGCGGTGGAGCTTTCGGCGCGAGCTCACTCGTAAAAGGAAACTGCTCTCGTAAATGCGGATGATAAATTCCGCTCCACTGTAAAGCTCGCTCTCTGCAGCTCAGCAGGCAAATCGAGGGAGAGAAAGAGACCGAACGCCAAAATTTTGTCGGATTTTTAAAGGCCTCGAAAATTGCTCGGGCAGAGAAAATAATTTACACGTAATTTATATAGCTCGATAATTAAAATAACGTTGGGACAATTAAATATTTTTGATGGATGCACTACTAAAATGAGATGTAAAGTTAAACGAGCTACGATTTATGCCCTATATTCTATATACGATAAGAAATTGTGGCTCTGTGTCTCGCAACTTCGGAATAATTCATTTTTCGCTAAAATTGTCGTATGATTACATCAAACTTTGTTTTACTTTCAATCTAAATGTATGCACTCTCGAGTCGTTTGCGCATCGATTACAGCTGATAAAACAATTCCTTGGTGGGCTCGTGTATATATACTGCGCGATAAAGAACACGTGCTGTATTGGAAGCGATGTTTTGTAAATAAATATACTGCTTAAATACGATTGAAGCTTAACCGAAGCAGCTCCGAAGCTATAAACGTACACGGCATTATTGTACGTATTGTGAAATTCGCTTGAAATATTGCACAATAATACGCGCATTTATATTTTGCATATTATTTATGAAATTGCGATACACGATTGCACATACGTGTCTATGCGTACACGCGGCGCTCCTATTACAATACACCGCATTCGATAACATTTATTGAATTTCCCGCAAATGATTATTACGAGCGTGGCAATTAAATAATAAAAAGAAGTAAAATATTGATTGCGATTAAAAATAAAGGAGACGCGTATTTAATGCAAATATACATGACAGTGCATTGAGATTTTAATTTTGCAAGTGAACAATTTAAGAAAGCTCTCTTTATTTTGTATAATATACTACGTACAGATTTAAATGTAAGCTGTCGTGTCTCGTATCGCTCGACTTCATTGCGATGCATAATTCTCTTTATACTCGTGAAGCATGCAATAAACGAATGCCGAATTGAGGCATTAATAGGGCCCTATTAAAATTCAGCTCAAATTATATACCTATGTACGCAAACGAATGCCAAGAGTACATATGCTGAAACATAAATTATACTTATAAGCGTGCACACGCATATCTAGCATTCCGCCGTACGAGGGTAGAGAAAAAAGAGAAAATAATTGTAATTTTTTTTGTGTCGTTTCTCATATTTGCTTAATGGTGTCGTCGAGCATATATATATAGTCCTATGTACGTGTAAGGCAAATCGTAAAACATTCATCCAGTCGTATCGCCGAGACGATTAATCGTCTTATCGGTTATCGTTCGTAGAGTCGCCCGCGCACGTATATACATGTATGCAGATATATGTATATGTTATACTGAAGGAGCTTATATGGGTGACGTATACGTGTATGTGTATATAAACTTAAGGCCTTCAAAGGCACTTGAACGCGATCGTAAAATGTTAATAAAGGTGCTCGAGCTTTTCCTATTCGCAAGGCTAATTTTCACTTTAACTTTACACGTTGGCGTCGAGACGCGATGCTGCGACAGGCTCGCATGTATGTAACACGTATTTCCTTAAATGAAAGGCCAGTTTATACGAAATTTCCCTAAAGTGTTTGAAGAAAAAAAATATCGAATTGATTTGAAATAAGTTGTATGATTTTTAAAATGAAGCAAAAGTCATGCTATACTTGCGATGGTAATTTTTTTATTGTTGTGAGAATCGTGCACCGATTGAGCACTTGTGCACACGATGATTAACAAAAATACACATGTATCAACTTTTTGTAGTGTGAACGTAGATACTCATGCACGAGGTTTTTGGGTAACAAGAATTCAATATTCTAATGGATTTTGCGGTAAACATTATTGGCATAGAAAAAAATGGTTATTTTCTATAATTTTTTTTCTTTTTCAATGCTTTTATCATGCCTCTGGATTTCACATACACAGGATGGATCAGATTTCTATCGTGTTGTAAGATAAATTTCGTATACTCGTGACGCGATAATGTTACATCGATACGAGTCGATCTTAACGTGTGCAAACAATAAGTCTTCATGTTAGCATTTCAGAAATTCTAAAATGAAAGCACAAAAGAACTGCATTTCAATACAAACGTACGAAGAAGCTTTACTATGCAAGTGTTAGAATTTTTATGGCATGGCATCTTTCATTCTGAAATAAGCTCCAGTGAAGTGTAAATTTTTCTGTTGCCTGCCTCATTGCGTCAGTTGGAGTGAGCAATATTTGACTACCGTGAAAGTAAAGATGCTTATTGTAGATAAAAAAATTTTTTAAACACCACAAGTATTTTTCAACTAAATTGTATCATCTTTCTTTCTTTTTAAATGTCTACATACTTCATTTATGTTTCATTTTTCAAAATTTTCTTCTATTATGAATATAAGCCGATTTTTTTAGCTTTTTGTACGAAAAAGAGATGAAATATTTCAAGAAAATTCTTTATTAAATTTGTCGCTAAATTACGCATTACGGCTCTTTGAGAAAAAGTACACGACTGTAGTTGGGATATAACTTTTTACAGCGCGCGCGTTTCATCAAATTGAAATTAATTTTAGCTCGCCCTAGCGATATTCAGAATCAAAACTTTTTCAATACCATCGTGGAAAAATCAAAGTATATCGAAAAAATTTGATTTTCATTTCATACTTTTGAATAATACTTGCATACATTTTTTTTATAATTATTAAATCTGCACACCGAATGAACTATTTTTTATACATCGAAAAACCTAGAGAAATATTCACGAAACGAAAAATGGCTGACTTTTTTCTTGTTTTTATTGTTCTAAATTATGTGTGCATTGAAGTAAGAGACCTGCATGTACATCATGTTTACGATGAGGAAAAAAAAGCAAGCATAGTAAAAAGCAAAATACTACGTGGTTGCATAAAATCTATCTTCAAGTCGGATCTCACAAGTCATGATTCGAAAGAACCGTAAAAAGTGTAGTATTTGAAAGCAAGTATTTACATTAAATAAAGATAAAAAGTTTATTTTTGTATTCCAAAACGAGGAAATGAATGAAAATCATTTTGATTTATTATTTAAAAACGAAGTTCATTTAGAAAAAATATATTAAAAAATTGAAGGAAAAATCGAAAAACAAAGTACACACTTTATGGTAAAAGCTCTTTGTACTTTACGAGATGCTGTTGTACCGACCATCTCCATATTCAACCGTGTATACATAATTCCTTTTGAATTATTAACGCACATCTGTGCATTAAAACTGTGGCTCGCTGTTGAAACATTTTCACAACTTGAGTGACGAGAAGAAAAATCAAATTTTTTTCCCAATATTGCGATGTAAGATGATCCCTTTTTTTACATTTTTCTCGTCTTTTCTGTTTTCAGCGTATGTGACATCGAGATTTCCATCCGTGGACGTTAGCAGTGTCAAGCAGGTATTGGCCTATAAATGCAAGGAAAACTCCACGGCCTTAAAAATGAAATCTATACGATACATTTGGTAAGTTATTGTTATTATCCTTGTAATTATTATATGCAAACCTGTTACTCTTCAAGGTCCATAGTAAGTTTGACAATTTTTCGTCAAATATCTAAATAATGCACACTATGAGTTTATGCAAAAAATCTTGTCCGCTCTTCGTAAAATCGAGTATATACACGATACATAAAAAGTCCAGAGATTCTCTGCTCAAAGTTTACGGGATAAAAAACTTTTCTCCTCTGAAGGAGATTTAATGAGATAGCTAGAGAGGGACAAGTTGATTTTAATAAAGACATGCATTACGCAAGACTTTCACGGATGTTATTATTTTTGAACGGACAGGAACAAAAAAAAAAGAAAGAAAGAAAGAAAGAAGAAAACGTATATGCGGCATAAAGTAGAGAAACATCTCTCGTCGTCACTCCATGTTACGATGCATATACATAATACACTTTTAACAAGAAGATCGGCTGCGACGTTTTTTTTTCTTTCTTTTCGACTGCAGGACGCCGTCAAGTCACGAACGTGCGCATAATATGTAAAAAGCCGCGCGAAGACATATTTTCAGTATACTCCCGTACTTTAAGTCCGCTTCACATAAATAGCAGCGCTCAGCAATATCGCGGCAACGCGTACTTGATTTTATTATTAATATACACGTCAGATCCAAAATAACAGGACGAAATGGCGAAATTGCCTAGCACGCGAACTGTTTTTGATCTCTTCGAATACCCGCAGAAAACGTTTTTTTCTCCTTTACTCTATAGGACAATATGGCTCTCCAGTATATGAAATTTAATATAGTTTTTCCGGGAGCATACTTTTAAGCAATTGTCGAGGTGCGCTATCATTGAAAAGAGCAAATTTGATTCGGATGGATTTTTAAAATGAAAATTAGACATCAAGATGTGCTATCGCAAGTTGGAATTTTCTACGGATCGTGTCTCTTTTATCGAAATGCACCACTATAAATACATAGTTATTTTGGAATTTCGGTCAATGAAATTACGCGAGTTAACTATTGAAATCAATTTTAACACGCTCGATTGAATTCGGTCAACATTATTAAACGAATGTACACGAGCACGTTCGAGATCAAAGTTCAAAAATGATGTACGTAAATGAACTAAAATGCGAAGCGCGTGTGGATCGCTAATGTTCGATGCGAGTAAAACGATACATCTTGAACGTTTATAGGTATAATAATTCCAATGAAAACGGTACGGTTATAAAGGAGCTTCGAAATCGATCGAGAGCCATAGACGCGTTTTATCCATGTATGACCTCAGCTTTCACGAGAGTCGAGCTTTTGACGTATACCCGTGCGCAATATACATAGGCGAGCTTGCGCTTATAAATGAGCTACGCGTGTCATGCGAGCGCCTATGTGTATGCATCACTTGGAGCACTGAATTGTCCTTATACGTTATGAGCGTGAACGCGATGTATGCATTATATATAGGCGAGCACACATATAGTACAGGAGAATGTGCGGCGCACATGAACGCCGGGGCAAAACTCGTTGATAAATTTGACTTCGCGCTCGACGAGGTATAGAGGCGCGGTATATTTCGCTTCGTCTATCATCTGTCGCGCGCGCGTACATCTTATACGTATACATACATTATAATACCTCGCGCTTCGTGCGCACCCATTGAAATCGGCCCCGAGCCGCGCGTACACGTCGTGCTGCGCGGTGGTGTACGCCATTTGCTGGTTAAAGCCGGCGACAAATTCTCCGTGTATAACACCGCACAGCAGACGACTCTCCTCTCTCGTAATTTAGACGTCGCTTTATATATACGTAAAATTACCTCCTCTTGTGTGTGCCCACATGTAACGCTATGTCTATGTATCATTATTAAATGCCGAGGCGATCGTTCGACTTTTAATCGTTTGGCGCGAAGCTATATAGATTTAATCAACCGAGTGCCCGGGTTTGGTATACACATTCGCTGTACGTCTTAATTATGAGAGTGTACGGAAGGCCGCTGCTCAGTACCTTTATTATAAACTTTGAATCGACGACGACGACGCGGAGCAATGAAGGAGCTGAAAAATCGTCGAGCTCGAGGTACACAATTTACCCGTCGCCGGTAGCTAATACGCAGACAGGCAATCGGGGCTGTGTAAGGATAACTTTTAAGGAAAGAAAAATGAACCCTCTGGCTCGCGCGAGCGCTTAATTTTCCCGCTTGCCGAGCCCTCTAATAATCTGAAATTTTCAGTCATCGGGCGTTCATGGGGATTCGTAATCATAATACACATACACATACGAAAAACTCGTTTTATACATGAAAGCTTATCCGTTTAAAGCACGTGGCGGCGGCGGTGGCGGCCACCGATAAGGATTTTTCCATCACCGCGGGGGGGCGCGTCGCTTTTAATATATAATTTTCTTTTAAACATATGTATTACACGGCAGCGGTGGCGGCGGCGTATATATCTCGTGCTCGAAATCTAGCCTTCCCGGCAAGTAATTTCCCCAGTGCGTTGAAAATACATATGCATACATGGACGCGCCGCACACCGAGGCAGATGCAATTTCGTCTATGTTGTATGCGTGCGTTATAACGCGCCTAAGCTCGCGTCGCTCCAGAGACACGCACTACATATACGTATATTGCCATAATGCGGCGCGTACGCGATTTTGATTTAGCTTTGAAATACGGCTTTATGTGGCTATGCGCGCAGTCAAACGAGATGAAGTTTCTTCGTGAGGCTAAAAAGTTCGCTTGGATATATAGTCGCGCGAGTTTCATTTTCGCAATAAATTAGAGCCGGGAGAATTTCAACTCGAAAAGAAAAAAAAAAATTAGTTATATTTATACTTTTTGCGTTAACTCGATGAGACATTTGAATATTCCGTAGAAAAAAAGTGACCCGCACGGCTCATCTTTCGCGCACTTTTTATACCAACATACACGTGTGCGAGCGAAGCTGTCACAACCGAAACATCATTTACAGTCCCAACGTTAATTCAATTGAGCACTCGTCGAAAAAGTGAATTTCCTTTTTTTACCCGTTTCTGTCGCGCGTTTATATGTATGCGCGTTCGCAGTCGTGACGGTGCATCGCTATGCCATGCAGTTATATCTAGTAATAAAAAAAAGCCGATCACTGAATGCATATATCTACTCTCGTACGTACGGCAGAGTCGCTCACATCGCTATCACACCTGCGCGTATAGAAAAAATAAAATTGAATTGATAGATAACTTAGATAAAAATGCATCGAAGATGCGGAGAAAAAATTTTCATCGTGTGCGCGCGCGTAAATTAAAATGTATCGGTTATAGGCTTATTTTGCATCGGAAGTTTCGAAACCGCTTCGCTCAAAATCAAAACTTTCAACGCTGTATATGCAGGCCATTTTGCTAGCGAGTACATTATAACGAACGCGAAATTTCTATCTTGTTTTCGGGACGCTCGAACGTAACGAAATACGCATTTTCGAGCGAGAAAGGAGGCATCTACGAACTATTACTATTTATAACAAAGTTTGTACAAAGCAAATTGTCGAGTCATCCCTCCCGATGCATGATAATCCTATACCTTATATTGATAAACAATAAGAGAGTGCGCTGCTTACACGTCTATGTATGTACGAAGCTCCAGAGTTATTGGTTGGAACATAAACAAAGTTTTAAACTTAATTTTTGGAGCCGAGCTAAGGTAATTTGAGAAAATTTAACGTTGAAACACAATGAAAATTTAAACTCTCATTACAATCGAAGACAAGTCATTTTTCTTTACTCGCCTCGTCGCCTCTGTAATTGTCTTTTCTCTTTTTCCCCGTATACTTTCGTATACGTGCGTATATCCTTACACGTTTGCAATTTATTTCCAACGACGACCAAGTGCCAAAGGATCTCTTTAAGTCGTCGTCTTCGTGCGCGACAGTAGTCTTTTCTATCTTTCTCGTCTTCTGCTTTTCTCTCTCTCTCTCTCTTTTTCTTTCACTAGTGCGCGACTTGTAATCAAGATGAAAGGCACGACGGGATCTTTCCGTGCTGCACAACTCTCTTGTCGCGATGACCCGACACCAATAATACACGCTCTCTTATACTCTTTTCGTTTGATCGAAAGTGAAAGAGCAAAAAGAAGGAAAAAAAGTGGGCTAAGCATGTGGAATAATCCTTTCGTGTATAATAAGTGTCATCGACTAACAAACGCTTGGACGTATGCCCAGGAGAAAATACTGCAAATGAGCCTTACCTGTGCAGGGTGTATTGCTTTCTTCAGATTTTTATTTCTAACAGTGGCGTGACTTATAGAAGAGATAAGAAGTACTTTTTGTTATTTTTATTTTACCATCGATAATTTCATAATTTAAAGGAGACGATTCAAAACATTCGAAGATAATACTCATAAAGTGTGTGAATTTGTGTGTATATTTTATCATTTTTGCCTTAAAAATATTTTTGCAGTTTATATAAAAAAATAAATGAAAACTGGTACATTACCCTTCAGCTAAGAATTCATGTAAAAATACCTTCGAAATAAAATTTAATGTAGGTTACTTTAATTTTAATATCTTCTTTTACATGAAATGTGTGTTAAATTTGAGGATTTTTTAAACTGTGAAATTGAATATTTGCTCTATATTTTTACTTTTGATTCAGTTTTGGTGTATGAGCGACATTTTTTTTTGGTACCTTAAAAAATATTGTCCTTGACATCTTAATTTTTTGGCATTTACTTATGTCCAGCATTTTTTCAATACAGCATATAAAATTCTGCATCAATGTTGATTTTGTACGATATCACGAAGTTAGGTCGAGATTATTTGAACTTAATTTGTAACAAAATCCTACTTATCTTCTGAAATGTCTATTTCAACGTTATTACTTTTTTATAGTGACATCCAAATTTATGATAGAATTCACATGCATTTTTACGTCCTATTATAGTGTTTGATACCTTCGTTTCAATTTTTTATCGTCGATCTCTTATTTTTATATCTTTGTAATAAATGTTCATCTTTTTTTAGCTACGGTTGTCACAAATTAATTGCTGATATTTTCCGCAAGAAATCGATTAATAACCCCTATTTTCAACATTTTCCTGATGTAATTCATCGTGTTTTTTGCTCTTTTTCGTGTCCCCAATCATTCATATTTATCATACATACGGATTCTCGATGTTTTGCCTTGAATTTCCCTGTCGGCAGCTACTTCATTTTAAGTAGTCGTTGAACAAGCTACAATGTAATGCTAAGAACATAAGTCTTCCTTTATAGTCAAATAAACCCTACATTTGCGCATTCTCGTATTGCAAGACGCACGCACACAATGCGTTTGCATTCAAGACGTGAAATTGTCGGTACGTACCGTATATTTTTTGTCGTCCTGCAAACTTTGAGTAAACAACTTAACAACAAATTTTATTAAAATCGTATAAGCGTGTACTGTTAAAAACAAGAGATACACACAGCGCGACATTGCTCAGCAATAAATGTATCGTTGACACTGAAGCTTTTATTGTGAGGATGCAAAATTCCCCGGGATCATAAGGTCGACGTGTATTAATTTATGACCCGAGAATTGAAATGTACAACCTTAACTTACGTCGTGATTCCTATAAATAAAAAGGGACTTTTCTGATTCGATGTTATTGCAGCCTGAAAGTTATTAAAATGCCCGTTTGATCGTCGCAGATTTAATATCGTGCAAATTATCGAAGAATTGTGATTTATTCCTATCCAGACAATATTATTCTTTTTGGATACATAGTTTAATGGGGTGTTTTAACTCTATCGATATCTATTTTTATTTAATATTTGACACAATTTTTATTTGTCTTTCATCCATCTTTAAATTTATATGATATTATTCGAGCATTGGACATGTAGCCATAAAAAGCACAAATTCGTACGCGCAAGCGTAAAAAAGTTTTAACACTCGAACAAAGCCCCTGACCGATTCTCCTTACAAATGGGCGAATCCCCCCGCCTCTCGTGCGTACTACAGTTTAATTAAAAGCGTTAAATTAAAACCAAAATTATTAAATGTACAGCCCTAATTCAAGAGGATATGAATTCTAGTTGATACTCTCCTACGCACGCACACATACACATACGTATATACATATAGGTATGTGTAAACATTCGGGCGTACGTTGGAGAGTAATAGATTCATAGTGCTACAAAGCGGACGTGAAATTACTGCGCGTACGCGTTCACTTCAGGGACTCGTTCCTCATAAGTTGCTATACGATCGTTATGTGCGGCTGTACTGCTGCTTCTGCGAAACAATTAATACCATTGAATTACGCACTAGTGTCTGTTTATTTTTTTTTCATCCTTTTCAGTCGCCCTCCACGTAACGCGTGGGCCACAATTGGCAATGTAATAAAATGTAATATTCCCAGCTTATAACAAAGTTTATTAGTATTTAACCAAAGTTAAAGGAACACTCGGGGCTTTGATTAAATTCCTTTCTTTGGGATATATTAATTCGGCCACGCATTATGTACACTCACAATCACTTGACGCAAATATTATGGCTGAACTTTCGTCGTACGTAGATGCACATATCGCACGTGTATAAATCGTTGTATAACCCGGTCGAATAATGCTGATGCAATTTATAATATTACGGACACGTTAGAGTTTTAGTAACTCACGACGCATAGATACGAGTCATCATCGATCTTTTGCTCATTAAGCTATACTCTTACATCACCGCGCAAATTAATCACAATCAATCATTAATTAATATCATCGATCCCCCGCGGATATGATATTAGGCACTTGTATGTGTGTGTGTGTGTGTGTGTTTGCGTAGATGTGTGTACATGTTTCGTATCGAGTTACACGTGCCTCTATGCATGAGAGCTCGATTGTGTGTATATTATAACGTGCCCTCGGTCACTTTATAAATTTCACGTCGTGCGCGTCGAGCTGGTTTAGTTTCATAATACGAAATGCGTTTGTACGACGGGTAACTTTACACATTTTCCCCTTACCCATTTATTTTTTTGTTGGGCTTCGAGAAGATAAATGCTCCTAGTTGGTTGGATAATATGAAAGTGCGTTAGTCGTTAATTACGCGCGATAAAAATGTGCGGTTATTGCTCAATCAAGCTTGCGGCTTGTGCTGCACGCGGTAAAAAATTATCGATTTTTCTTTCTTTCTTTTTTATGCCTATCATTAAAGGTTCGAGCGAACAGATAGGGTAATGTCGCGAAAAAAATCAATTTGTCGACACTTATCGCTACTCAGCACTCGAACTGTAAGCATATTGATTACTTTTTTGTTGTTATTTTGTTGTTTCAGTGAACGCCAAGAAACGGAAACGTCACCAGTGCGCCCCGTGGAGCCAGCCGAAGACGTGAAGTGAGCTCGAGTCTCATCGTAAGGGTGAAGCGCGCAGGTCGTACATACTTTTCCCGACTACTACTACAAAAACAACAACAACAACAACAACTTCAACTACAACAACAGCAACATCAACAATCGCTGCGTTTAGCCGTTTCGTGTATCGAGATTTTCGGCTATTATACTTGTTCGCAGAGGGAGAGCAAGAAAAAAAATGCTGCCGTGCATTACTTTTCTAACTACTCTTGTTATAAATCGATTTCTCGTATAGTGACTTGCACATAACACACAAGGGAGTCTCGGTGTCCGACTACGTTTTTAACATACATGATTTCTACAGGATTGTCGCGAATGATTTTTCCGACGATTCTCATCCTAATATACGTGAAAGAAAAAAAATTATCGGTGGTTATTTATCACTATACATACATTATAGATGTGATGATTGTGGAACGTTGTGCTGTGGTTATTAATTTTTTCTTTGTTTCTCATTACTTTTGTTCGCTACTATCAGAGGGCTTGGAAAACTGCTGTTATAGAAAAACCAAGGAGTCAAGGAGTCGTGAGTTTTAAACTTGTGATATTTTAATGGAGCGTTAAAAGAAAAAAAAAACATATTACTAATGGCTGTTCAATAACTATTATAGAATAGGGTACGAGTGTGATAAAAGTTTTCCGAGCCCGAGAAATTTTTTAAAAAAAATCCTATATAGCTTCGTAGAGAATCATATATAATGCTACGTTATTATACTTTTACTGCATAAATGTAAATTTATTATTATTATTATTATTATTATTATTATTATCGTTATAATTATTACTATTATTATAGTTTAGATTGATGATCATACGGTAGTCGTATTCAAAAGTCATGTGATTTATCTTCCTAGAAAGGTACGTGTTGGTATATAATATTATACATTTAGAAAAAAGTAGGTTTAAACTTTCCGCCACTGCAAGTACGCGCAGTTGCGAAATCGGAGAGTTTCTTTTGAAACTATACTGTTGTTGTACATTTGTTATGTATATGTAATTTTATATATTTTAATTGTTGCTTCTTCGACTAGTGAAAAGATAAAAAAAATTAACCATCGTGAAATTTAACCGGATACTAATTGACGTTCGCGTATACTTGACAGTTTTTTTTATAAAACATTTGACAATGCAAAAAAATACCTTCCATTGGACTAAGCAGAGTCGATATTTATTCGTCCTCTCAAAAAAGGCAAAAAACATAAATGCCATAAAATACGATAAATGAAAAAGCTTTTATTTACGGAATATGTTAAATAAGGCCCGTGCGAAGCGCGCAATATAAGGCAACGTAGGACAACAAAGGGAAATTTTTCAAATTGCACTGATAGTAAGTCCCCTGCGAGTAACGACAAAAGCTTTTTCTTTTTATTTACATTGTTTTTTTTTCAGCAATAAAAGATTGCAAAAATACTGATGCAATTCCCTTTGTCTTGGTAATCAGCAGTAACATATGCCAGAGAAAGCTACGGGGATCTTGTTGGACGTGAATATGTATATCTCTCTTTGAACTTTATCAACATTGTGCTTTTGTCGCTGACACAAGATAACATTCTTGTCTTCTTTTTCGGTATTAAAAATTTAATCTAAAATGCACGTACATTTTTTAAATCTATATAATAATGTCATTTCTGGGCGCGATTATTACGCTCGTTTTAACGGGCATTGTGTTGAGAGTAAGAGAGAGCTTCCGTAGAATCCAAACTCGCAGAAAAGTTGTGTGCTCTCCAAATCGAAAGTACTTAGCCTTCGATTTTAGATGCGTGACTGTACATCCAAATGACATCTTCTTCTCGATTTCTCGAGATTGGTACACGATTGCTTTAGGACCCTCGAAGTTGTTCACAAGGACACTCCGTCGTAAGTTGGAAAATTTCTCTTTGATCCATACGTACACTACTCTGCTGGAGCACGTTAATAATGATTTCATTAAACAATTGTCGATTATATTAAAGTTATGAATCGAACAAACTCTAATACAACGATGTTACGAATAAACAGAATTAAAAAAAAATTAAATCATGTCAAAAGCCTAATAAGATGTGAATTGTAATTAATGCTCGCAGTTGAAGGGAAAGCGCGCAAAGTAGTAGTATAATCGATGTTTAGTCGGACAACCGAGACTGTGACGGCGACGCGTGTATTGTATACGCGCGAATTATACGTGTCATTTCATGTATAAAGTATATACACTCTGTGAATTGACTATGACGATGACTTTGTAAAAGGCAAACATAATTTCACGTGAAAAAAAGGCGAGGAAAAGAAAAGAAAGAATAAAGAATGTATGATCGCATAAAAAAGAAAGAAAGGAAGGAAGGAAGAATGGGAGAGGAAAATATTGAGTTACGTAAACGGTAAAGGCTGACGCAAGGAAATAATACACACGGCTGTGAGGCGCTTTTTTATTCGTCGTCAGTGTGGAAGTCGAGGGCGCGAAAAATAAAGAAAAAAATAACAAACATACACATACACGACTACACACAAACACATAATCGCACGTAAATAGAAAATTTACGTATGAAAAAATTCTAACACTTTTAAGCATGTTACTCGATATAACTCCCCTTCAATTATTATATCAACACTCTTTTACGTGCCGCAAAAAAAAGTGAAATATTATAAATGTGAGTCATTCATGCAATGTATTCGAAAACAGAGAATGAGCGAGAGAGTTGAGAGCCATGCAGCCAAGCAAAATATAGAAAGATTCACACACTGTCTTTGTAATAGTGCAATAATGGTTAAATTATCTACGAATCCAACTCCTGATCCCCTCAATTAGACCCACATACATAAGTAGAGAGGTAATAAAGTAAAAACACGTAAAATATACATAATGTAGATACAATATCAATGAGATGAGTGTGTGCAATTTCTTCTTTGAATAACGTATACGAAAAATAAATAAATTAAATAATGGCTCGGTGTAGGTCATACTTTATACATAAGCCTTAAATAGTGATCTATACAAAAAAAGAACCCAGAAGTTTACATAACGATGCATCAATTAATGATTACGATACTGTAAGCTTGTGGAAGACAATTTATAGTGATTGAGTACGGTGAACGTAAAGGCTTTTTCTTTCTCGAGAATGCTGTGAATAATTAATTATATATTATAAAAAATAATATTCTATATTATGTATAAACGATCGAAGGTGCGGTAATATGCGAATTTTTAAACAAGGACTGGCTGTGAGATTTGTGTTTCGGCCCCAACTGCGAAGATGTTTTTAGTGAAAAAATGAAAAAATAAGATAACTTTATCAACAACAGATGCCGGATGAAGAGTTAACGATCATTAATTTAGTCGACACAGAAGATTCAAAGTATGCATGTGTGCGATCATGCAAATGAAGATCTAAATCGCACATATTCATAATATGAATAATTTTAAAAACTATAGCGACGGTAACAAGATGGAGGATAGTGAGAAATTGGAAAAAGTGCGAGAAAAAAGTTGGAAATGAATAATCTCACAACGTAACAAAAAAAAATTATAAAAAAAATGTAGGAAAAAAATATGAGTTTAAATATAATGTAAGATGAATATGAAAAAAAAACAAAACAGTAAAAAAATGAAGCATGATTTTTACGCGATGATGATAATGCTTCAACATCGTCGAGACCGGGATACAAGGGTAGACAACAGAACAACAAAACTTTTACGTAGATGAGCCTAAACAATTATTATCGTTAAATTTCATTACTTAATAGATACACGAATTAAGGTGTATGTGTATATAATATACGATTATTCGTTAAAATCATAGGTGAAAAGAACGTCTATATTATTTGTTGGGAGAAAAATATAAATAAATTATATTATATATATACAAATACCTATTGTGAGAAGATGAAAAAAAATATATATATATTTAGGATAATCATTTGTTAAATTTTTTTGGTGATAATAAACATAACATTAAAGATAGGATTATACAGAAAAAGTATGATTTTGTATAAGCAATTGTATGCATATGAAAAAAAGTACATTTTAGTAATGTAACGTAATGCATACCTATATGTATATGGATCTGTAAATATTCATACACATGTATGTATGTGTCAGTGTGCAGGAAAAAAAAAGAAAAGGATAGTGCAATGGCTGACAGTATATCCGATAAAATTGCAGATCATTTTACGAGCTCGTTTCGCAGTAAGGCCTAAGCGCGAGTTCGATGTGTGAGAGAAAATGTACGAATGGAAAAGAAAAAAAAGTTCATTATAGTGAGAGTCATTTCTGTACGTTTAGGGTATGACTAGGATGTACATGCGTATGGATACATACAATTTTTTTGACGGTTGAAATGAATGAATAAAATATTGCATATAGACGCAAAGTAACCGCTTTTTGAGAGAGAGCTATATACTCCACGAAAAAGTCAATAACTCTTATATTCAAATAGAAACACACACATACACGTACACGCATACACATATTTAAACGATCTTACACGAATATTTCCGATCTTCGCGGGGATAGAATAGGAAATAAAAAGAGGCATCTGTGTAGGGCAAGGATTGAAAAGAAGGAAAAAAGAAGAAACAGAATATTTTTCTTTGAATTCCCCCAAAGCGGCGAGCTTTATTCTTTCCTTCCTTTTTTTCGATTGTCTTCGATTTTTTAAACCCAAATAGCAAAGGGCAAGTGATATATACATATTTATTATTACGATGACGATGTTGATAATGATAATAATAACCGCGGTTATCACTTGAGCAGGCCTTAGTTTAGTGAAAAAAAAAGTAATAACTGAACTTATGAAAATTTAATGTGGAAAAGTGAGGAGCGTAAATAGCGTAATAAATAAACTCGAACATCGAATACACAATATATGCATGCGCATATTAAATTATGTTGACCATTAATTAACTATAATATTGAATACAACTGTATTTGTCGTCTTATTATTGCTGGTAAATATGAATTATCATCGTTGATTCGATGTTGAATGCAATGGTTACAATATGTGATGGTATCTTTTAATTGTTTTATTTTTTTCGTTTGTCCAATCGTTGCTGTGTACTTAAACGGCATTGACTCTTTATAAATTTATACTTTTTTATCGTTTATCGGGCTCTCATTTTGTCGATCGTTCTCGGGTCTCATTGCTTTTTTTTGTCGCATTTAATCGCGGAGCTTTATATTGATGGATTAAGTGAAATCCAAACTGCAGATTAGTTTTTCACACTCGCTGCCTGACTGCCGCCGCCTTGCACACACATTGTTCACTCCCCCGCGTGCAATGGTGTCCAAGATATATGTGCAACGCACGCTCGCACAATCACACGCGAAGGCTCTAAATTACGAGCACGGGTGACGATACAAATTTCCCAGGCAGTGGGGGTAATTAATCAAGATTCAAAGCCTGGGCTAGCGCGAGCACCAAACCGTATAAAAGCGCGCGCGCGCGTGCGCGAAAAAGGAAAAGCTATTGTCAACGCAGCAGGCGGGCGTGCGCCTTGCGCTTTAGCTTAATTATTAAGATAAAAAATAGTCATCTGCAGTAGAAGATTGATCATATCACGTGCAAGCACGACGAAGACAAAAATGAAATTATTACGAGACGCTCCCCTCCGACCCCTTCCGCGTTCAAAACGACAAGTGAACGCTGAGAGAATTTTTCCACTTATTGACGAGACTTTTTTTTCCAAAATCTTCAAACATTCAAAAATTTCTATTTCGTATACCGATTTACACTCACACAGTCCAGTTTCAAGCGATTTATCGAAAGATCATTTTGTCGCAATGTAAAGCAACGGGTTTTAAAAAGTAAATATATATCCAGGCCCACGAGACACGTATATATAAAATAAAAAGTAAAATTATGGTAAAATTAAGTATAATTATAATAGAGTCGTGCCTGACCGTAGTAGGACCATCCCTGTAAATAATATGATAAACGAGATAGACCGTCGCAGTGATGACAATGTTGCTGCGTCGTTCGCCGTTATTGTATATTAATCGATTGACGAATATTACAAATACATGATATATAAATATGGGTCAAAATAATACTTTTTTACAAAACCGTGCGCACGTATGTCACCGATCTTGACGCGCTTTTGGTATGTTATAGTACATGGTAAAAAGGTCCCAAAAAAAAAGTTTTAGACCCCCTCCCCCCTCCTACCCCCCACTTCGGGTATAAACGTCCATTTTCGATCTATATTTTTTCTGAGGACATGAAGCAAGTAAAAAATCTGAAAAAATTCATAAAAATACTTTTCCACAATCCAAACAACCTCGAATTTTTTCAGATTTTTTGAGTGCTTCAGGCCTTCAGATAAAATCATTGAAAATTTCAAAAATCGAGATACGGCGGTATGAGCCGATGTAGTACTCGGAAATTTTTTCAGTTATTTTTCGCATTAAAAAACATAACCTCAATTTTTTTCAGATTTTTTCAGATTACCTAACGCACCTTTTGAAGCCAAAAACCGATTTTTTTGACGAAAATAATTTTTTTAGGACAGTACGGAGCCTCGAAAAATCTGAAAAAAATTTTTTCTTGTTTTTTTCATCAAAATACGTAATCTCAAATTTTTTCAGATTTTTTAATTGAAGGCGATAGCTTCTAGGGCCGAAAAATGCTATTTTTAACAAAAAATGGTTCCTAGAACCCGATGGTTCCGGTGAAAAAATTTGAAAATATTTTTTTTGAATTCCTTGTCAAATTTTAATAAATTTTGACCGTTTCAAAAGTTCGATTGAAGCTTCCTAGCTCATTTTAGAGCATCAAACGAGTTTTATCATTCCTTAATGTCTTCAGAAACGTCTTCAGATATTTTGCACTAATCTTTGTCCTGCTCTAAAATGAGCTAGGAAGCTTCAATCGAACTTTTGAAACGGTCAAAATTTATTAAAATTTGACAAGGAATTCAAAAAAAATATTTTCAAATTTTTTCACCGGAACCATCGGGTTCTAGGAACCATTTTTTGTTAAAAATAGCATTTTTCGGCCCTAGAAGCTATCGCCTTCAATTAAAAAATCTGAAAAAATTTGAGATTACGTATTTTGATGAAAAAAACAAGAAAAAATTTTTTTCAGATTTTTCGAGGCTCCGTACTGTCCTAAAAAAATTATTTTCGTCAAAAAAATCGGTTTTTGGCTTCAAAAGGTGCGTTAGGTAATCTGAAAAAATCTGAAAAAAATTGAGGTTATGTTTTTTAATGCGAAAAATAACTGAAAAAATTTCCGAGTACTACATCGGCTCATACCGCCGTATCTCGATTTTTGAAATTTTCAATGATTTTATCTGAAGGCCTGAAGCACTCAAAAAATCTGAAAAAATTCAAGGTTGTTTGGATTGTGGAAAAGTATTTTTATGAATTTTTTCAGATTTTTTACTTGCTTCATGTCCTCAGAAAAAATATAGATCGAAAATGGACGTTTATACCGGAAGTGGGGGGTAGGAGGGGGGAGGGGGTCTAAAAATTTTTTTTTGGGACCTTTTTACCATGTACTATAACATACCAAAAGCGCGTCAAGATCGGTGACATACGTGCGCACGGTTTTGTAAAAAAGTATTATTTTGACCCATATATAAATAATTATTACAAAGATTATATTATATATAAAAGAGTAAAAAAGTTATATATCTTTAAATGAATAAACATACGAGCTTTTCTTTCTCAATTTTACACTTTTTTCTATGCTATGTTGACGTGACACCCAAAAATGATATTGAACACGAGTATAGACTTTTCTTACCTCGTTTACGGAATTTAAAATCGTGGTAATAATGCTGAAAATAATTGTTCCCAAAATTTGTTTCATCTATTAAAATAACTTTACAGATAAAAGCTGATTTGAATTCAAGGAATAACTTCAGAAAAAGTATCAAGTTTTTAAAAATATTCTTAGGATCAGATGATCTTTGGTCATTGAAATAATGAAAAATGAGCTCGAAACGCGTGTGATATTGAGAAAGAATGTCTCGTATAGATTATGAAAAAAATGAGCCTGAAAAAATTCTTGTGATGACCGTAGATAAAGTCGTACATCGTGCGTATGCGGCTATATTATAATATTTAATAAATAGTTAGATAGAAATCATAACACAACGTGGTGTCTCTTATTTAAGTAGTTGTCGATTAGATAAGGCCATTTTAATAAATATTAGGCGATTTACAATTATAAAACGAGACTTGGATGCAATATTGACATTTAGTACGTTTTTTTCCCGAATATTACAACTAATACATAAAAGTCAATGTGACCGAATTGAGAGGTGAAAGAGTAAAAAAAGCAATGCGAAGACTTGTGATTGTATATTGGGGTGTCGAAACATTTTTCGTATAGTGTATATACGCGTGTCGTCGGTGTCATCGATTGAAAAACTCATTTTTCGCGTTTGTATACGAACATTTCCCCTTGGACCATTATTCATTGTTGTTTTGTTCGATTCCCCCGGAAATATTGCTATGATCACTTTCGCACGTACGCAAATTTCTCACGTGAGTACGGGTAATATACACACATTTTTTTCTGAGTTTTCGAGAGACAAAAAATTATCATTGGCTGCATGAACTTTTGTACCAGTAAATTATAATAAATGTATCAAAAAAAGTTAAATAAATGCAAGTAATTCGATGAAAAACCTAAAAACGAAGTTGCTCAACTCTTGTTAGAATTTTTTCGGGGTCATGCGTATTTTCGAAAATGGATGAGATAAATTTTATCTAGACGCGTGTTTGACCGGAAAGAGAAAACGAAAAAGGCCGAGGGTATTAAAGTATAACACATGCATTAAACGATAATTTAGATGAAAGCGCATTATAAATGAATAGATATGTAACTTACGCATATACTTATATACAATTATACGATAAAAAATACTGTAAAACCCACATTATACACATATTTTTAGGTACAAAAAAAATAATAGAGAGCAATAAATAGAAAAAATACATTCGAAATATATCAACGAACATTGTTTTATGAGCAACCATACGCGTTCAGAGCGATAAAAAATATTATTATTATACATACATTAATAAAATACAAACATACATAGACCAACGCGTATGTGATAAAAAATATTGTGGACTCGAGTATACTATTTTGGACAGCAATGAGAATAAAAAAATTTCCAGTACAAACGTGCAACCTTCTTAAAACGGCTATTCAATATCTCGGAATTGTAAAACAAAGGCGTTATTCTAAACAAAAGTTAAAAAATTATGTAT